AATTTCGCAAGGCTATATTATCCGCATTTTACAACATTTCGCAACGAAACTTTGGAATATTACTAATTTTGTGATGCTCTTTCAAACTGTGATGAAATATTTGTCTAGATCAAAATTTTAGTTATAAGGGGAAAGGTCCATTGACCATTGAAATCATACATCAGCAGCAATTGGTTTGATGATCCCTTTCTTTTTAAACAGCCATGACATTCATTTGATTTTAGTGTCAAAATTTTCTTGAATGTTTGATGCCTACTTACTAGTAATAACTGTACACATACTGCACTGTATTGCATTTTGTTCAGGACACCCGCTATTAAAGATAATTATCAACATCTCTGCAATTACAGTATCATTATCAACATAATTTCAACATCTTTGCAAGCGAACAAACCGTACCTTATTGAGGGCACTTGTGACCAATGTTTGCTTTCAAAAATGACGATGATGGGCCAATCACTATCATTCCCAAAGTTCCACCTTTAAGAGTACACTATGGGAGGGAGAACGGGGTCATGAAAAGAAAAGCATTCAGTGTATGCTTTCCTATAATATTCCTTTGGACATCCTAGTATATTTTGCCGTTTTACTGGAAGAGGTCGATCCCCCCCCCCCCCCTCTCTTTTGGGATTACAGACATTTCCTCCGTAGAGGGAGTCTTTATCTTCTCTGGAATGACGCACAGTAACCACCCAACCTCGTACCCAGGGTCTTTCGTCTTTGGGGGGGGGGGACCCTGGTAGACGCTGGTCACGTGATCTGCTAAAATCTAGCAGATTTCTAATGAACTATCTTGGATTCCTTTACGACAATCATACAAAATGCAAATTATAAATTAAACTATAAAAATCATCCAAATATCAAATATTTATTGACCTCATCTTGGATTGCTAATTAAAAAATCTGCTAGATTTTAGCAGATCACGTGACCAGCGTCTACCAGGGTCTTTTCTCCCCTCGCCAAGAGGAAAGACCCTGGATACGAGATTGAGTAACCCCCATGATAATTGTAATTTTGAACCAATCCTTCAAAAATTAAAGATTTGATTCACGAAAATCGTGTATATATGTCAACAGTGATATTCATTCCAGATGATCTTGATACGCGGAAAAGTACTGGCGCTAGTTGTCAAATAGAAATCCATTCCAGATTAAAACAACTGAATATCTCCTGTAATATACTTTATTTCGATTCCATATTTTTGTCAGAGCTATAGTTCTCATAACCAAACATAATTACAAAATTTCAACTAGTTTCATAAAGAATAACGAAAGATTTAATTGACTGAATTCATCAAAATGGATTTCTATTCGGACAACCCTTTCTGAGCGCTGATTGGCTAAAATACGAACACGAGATCACCTGGTTGGGAGAGGTTAATTCCTATTACCTCTGACATCTACCCTTATTACTAGCTAAATATGGGTAAATATCAACGGGTGTACTATATCCATATGCTTATTATACATTCATATAGGAAACAATGTTCCTCAAGATATTCTTAAAGCAATTTCAGTTGCTGTAAAGTTAAATGGCGAAAGGGAAAGTGCACGGAATAAAGAAAATGCAAGAACAGAAAAAATGATGAGAACGATTGAAAAGATTGAATTTGAAAATACAATGCAGGTACTGTATACTGTGTGTAAACCACTGGTGATTTTCATAGAAATTCTGTATAGAATTGACTGAGTCCCTTAGAAATGCCAAGATAATTATCCTGCTATCCTACAAACATCTGGAAACAGGTTAGCAGTTCTTTTCCAAAATATATATTTTGTGACAATTTACAGTAATTGGTTAACAAAAGTTAGATTCACCTGATCTGGGTGTGTTTGTTCAATGTGTGCATCAACCTCGTTCCCAGGGCTTTAGTGTGAGGACGAGGGGAGAGACGAGGAAGCCCTGGCCTGGGCCGGTCAATTTTGCATTCTGCATGATTGGCTAACACCATATTGTCTACTGAACTGACTTGACAGTTGACAATAACAATTCAACATTTGTATTTTTATGATTCTTGTGTGTATGAGTACGTTTTGCAAAATAATCTTTCAAAGTAAGACGTTTTTCAAACTGCATGATTTACTTTCGCCTCGGCTGGTTACAAAACTCACAAGCCGTGTCGACGTGAGCTGTGATGTTTCCTGACAAAACAAGAAACGTCTACTATTATTTAAGCTGTAGTTGTCCTTGTACAGTATTTAGGCCACATAAAAAAAAATAGTTGGTTAGCGTCCCCGCCCGCCCACAAAAAAGGCCCCGCTCAGGATTTTTTTTTATTTTTTATTTAAAAAAACAACCACTTTTATTGATCAACGGGCTCTAATATATGTAGTATTTCTGTTGTCTGTAGTCAATTGTGTTAATAATTTGCGAAATTGCGTGCGAAAATGACGGTATGAATCATATTTTGAAATATATAAAAAAATATCTGTACTGCGTAAGAAAATCCAGTTTCGGACCTAACAGTGAGTAAAACCAAGGCGTTAAAAATTAGTAAAAATTAAAAAAAAAAGCGCCCGCCCGCCCACTTTTTGGCAAAAGCTAAGGACGCTAACCAACTATTTTTTTTTATGTGGCCTAATGGCTTTGTTGTCTTAGAAACTGCCCAAAATATACCACTGATCGATTGGTCAAAAACAACATTTATAAATAATGTCTTATTTATACAAGTCCTGAGACAAAATGTACTTGCAAGCTCTGTCTTAGAACCTGCTGTCGAATTCTTATCTGTCGATAATTTACCTAAACTTGTCAGTGTTTCAAGTTGTATACAAACATGTTTCTTACAAGATATGTGATTCTGTGATCGACACAAGAAATATACCACATGTAGTGTATGCAAAAACAACTATAACGCCTGTGAATCCTTTTGATACACAAAATAATGATACTATAAACAGTCTGCCCATGGTGGTAGGACAAAATAATAACATTCTATATCCATTGTAGTAGAGTCCATTGAGGCAAAAATATCATGGATCTGCCTATTGTGGTAGAGCCCATTCAAGGCAAAAACTATAGATCTGCCCATTGTGCCAATGTGGTAGAGCCCATTGAGGCAAAAACTATAGATCTGCCCATTGTGGTAGAGGCCATTGAGACAAAAACTATATATCTGTCCATTGTGGTATCTAGTGCCCATTGAGGCAAAAACCATTGATCTGCCTGTGGTCTAGCCCATTGAGGCACCAACTATCAGCGATCTGCCCCAGAGAATCGATAATAGCGGGCAGATATTCATATATTCGTGTTCACAGACTGTAAAAACAATCGACTTCAAAAGAAATTAATTGGGCAGAACACGAATATATGAATATCTGCCCTCCCCCCAATTATCGATATTCCGGCGCCTCTGATCTGCCCATTGCGATGGAGCCCATTGAGGCACCAACTATCAGACTAGGGGTCAGCCAGGGGGGGGGGGTCGTAGTATCCTAAAGAGCTGATAAATATGGATCAAAATACCTATTATTATGGTCAAAATGTTACATAATACCTAAAGCAATCAGAAGCTGTATACCAGACCTAATACCCCAAATTAGTCATAACATTTAAAGTAAATATACAGTATACTCGAATTAAGTACCATTGGACCCTATATACAGTACACAAAACCCTATGGCCGACCCTACAGACTGCTCTGCCCATTGTGGTGGAGCCCATTGAGGCACCAACTATCAGTGATCTGCCATTATGTGCAAAGGCAATGAGTTTGTAGTGTTCCATTTCTAGATGTTTATAGCTTTAAACAAATGTTGTCTGCACATATATTGACTTACCAGCAATTACATGTAATATTACTAACATTTTAACTGACTTTTGTATAAGATCTGAGATATGTCCATTGTTAGCATAATATGAAATAATTCTAGTGGCCTACATATGGCTGTGTCACTACGATAATGCTCACAATTTCTTTCTTATTATATATTTTTGCAGTTCTGACTGAGAACAATCTTAATCATGTCAATGAATGGTGTCATCTGAAGCATATTAAACAGAAATGTCAGCAAATACATTTTGTCTACCCATCGGCAGATTGTTCGGTTGGTCTGTGATAGGGGAAGCCATGAAGGTGGCATTACATGTAAAACGATAATTGGAACAAAAACCGACGTTATAGTATTTTTATATAAACATTGTTCTGTATTCAGTGGCAAACTCACACATGTGATCACCAAGTTTATACTTTATAGTGCACTTTTTATAAGATGAGATGTAAGATACAATCAGGGACGCCGGAACTGGGGGGGGGGGGCAGGAAGGGCAGCCGCCCCCGTTGCCCTTTACCAGGAGGGGCAAGGGGAGCAAATGTGTCCTTTCAATTTAAAGGATTGCCTTGGCAAAATAGCGAATTGTCAGAAATGTTAGTGCAATTCTTTTACTAATTTGCTTCAGAAAACGCAAGAAATACAGTCATCGAGCTTCAAGAATAGCACAATCGCCTGGCAGAGAACCCCCTCACACCCCTATCATCCAATATATAGAAAACATGATTAGGTGAAGTTCAACTCCCGATGTTTTGCAAACATCTCTTAGTATATATCAATTCAAAAGTGCCCTTTCACGAAAATCTGCCACCCTCCGGCGTCCCTGGATACAATTGTAGAAGGTAATTGATGTAGAACATGTGTAAGACATTAAATCATACATACAGTGAAAAAGACACTTTTTGGTTGTAGTACATCCTGCATGTACATATCGGCAGCATTTTACTTGCGATAGTAACTCCTAGTAGAATAAAAATATTGCCCTGTGTTGCTGGGCATTTGATGACATTTGACATAGGCGGAAGTCAAATACCCCGCTATGCCCCGGCCGGGGGGGTGCGGGGGTTTACATTGACTAGTGCATTACAAGTTGGCAAGTCAGTTAGCAAATAATTTGCGATTTTTAAGAATTATGTCTTCTTGTAAAGTCATTTATTTAAGGTAAGATCAAAGCATTATCTATGATCCTTTTAGTTTACGAAGAATTTTCAGAAGATTTGACGATTTGTTCTTCTATTTATGTAGGCTCGTGTTTGATTTTATAAACCTGACAGTGCATATTTGGTGTTGGGAATCATTGTGTTCAAGCTGTCGCTGATCAATATGTTGATCAGACACTTTGCGTGTTGGCCACGGTGGCCAAACAGGCAACTCAAATAAAATTTACATCAATTCTAAACAAACAAACGGAAACAAACGAGAGCCATTGTGTTCAAAACAAACGAGAGCCATTGTACGAAGGTATCACGTGACTCAGAGCTACAGTATATCATATCAGAGATATCATATAAAACTGCAAATTTTACAGACCTCTATTACTGCTGCTGATAGATCAAGTTGCAGTGATATATATTGCATTTGGTTAAATGGGGGTAACAATTGAGCAATATCGTGCCTGAATTGGTGCACATTTTAATAGTTTTAGTGTGAGAAGCAAACCTACTTGTTATTACAATGGGTAATAACCCATCAGCTGCCACTCACCTAGCTAGATACCATAAACATCTGACTATAAGCCCTGGCCTGGGCGATTTTTGATGGGTTTATACAAGGGGGGAGGGGGGCTTATATACTGGGGCTAATACATGGACGATCTTTTGTGTTAGTATTAAACAAGTCAGGCATAAACAAGTCAGTCATAAACAGAAAAATAAACATGTATTAATAAGGTGCTTTGATTAACACAGCAACCTCCGTCGCAGGGACTTTGACCCTGGGTACGAGGATGTTAACACAGTTAACAGACAATGACAATGTTTTTAACTATCGTTCTCTGCTCTACAGTCATTTTTTAGTTGAAAAGCCACCTTAAGTAGGGGACTACATGCAGTCCATGAGTATGAGTACTTCCGCACACCGGAAGGCGCATGCATGCTGTGGTGCGCATGTCAAGTAGCGACAATAACAAAAAGTGTAAACAATACTTAATGTGGCTTTTCAACTAAAAAATGACTGTAGGGCCCCTTTAAAAGACAATGTCAATGTTGAATAATGTAGTGGGCTACTGGGCTCATATTCAGGGGACTTATATTTGGTGGTCTTATATTTGGGAGGGGGGCTATATTCAGGGGGCGGGGCTTATATTCGAGGTGGGGGGGGGGGCTTATAGTCGGAGGTTTACGGTATATAACTTTTTATTGGTAGAGTATTGCAAGTTATTTCATTACAACTACTCAAATACCTCCTACAACCCATCACTATATTAGTACTATATTCAAGACAATTAACAAATTTTGTTGTGGATTACCTGCAATGCATTGCAGCTGCCACATGATGCTGCCATATGATTTGTTATCGAATGTTGATGCTGGGGCTTCACCTTTGGTGGGCGGTGTAACACCTAAAAGTAAAAGGGGCCCAGTTTGTGGGGAAGGGCCCTGCATGCTGGAATTGCAAAATTTTAAAAAATGAAGGATTTGTTCCTAAATTATGGAAATTTCAGGGAAGTGTTGTTTTGCAAAAGATTTTGGGAACTTTTGTTTTGTTGTAACATTGCCCCCCCTATCGTCAACATTCTCCGGAAAAATTTTTGCTTTCCGGAAACATTTTTTGTGGGGCCCTGGGATGGAAGGGGGCCCAAATTTTGGAATACACCCCCCCCAACCAGAAACCGGTTGGCACGGTCCTACCAAGTGCGCTTATGGAGGTCCACCATTTTGAATATTATCAGGGGTGAATGGCTCTCAGTGCACTGGCTAGCACCATGGCATCATTTTGATGACGAATTACGGTCATGTAACACTGACGTTGAGACGCGATTGGTAACCAGGCCTCCGTGTCAAACATAAGGTAATCAAAGCACTAACTTTTTCGCAAGTTCGCAACGCGAATACACGTACGGCAGCAATTTCACTAACTTTTTGTTATACTAGTTATAAGGTTTGGTTTGGTGTTCTAATAGAGACCTTATGTTTGAAGTTTACATTACACCCTTCCGGAAAGTACGTCATTTTGGCTATATACTAATATAGCCTCGTTTTCGTGTGTGTGACATTAGTTAAAACCTGATGTCTTACCACGAAAACGAGGCTCTATGCCAAAGTGACGTACTTTCCAGAAAGGTGCATTGATCGCAAACGGGAAACTTCAGATCGTATTTTTAAATGAAGTCATCAATTTGTTGTTCAAAGTTATAACAATTTGCAAATTTCAAAATTGAAGCATCAGTTACAATTTTGGACATACCTTCCCTCTATACGAAATTCGTATAGCCCTTATGATAAAATTTCGTTAAATCACGTTGTTCTGAAGCCCCCGCTCTTGCAATTCGTTGTTTGGTAAATTCATGGTAAATTCTAGCAAGAGTTGTTTCGATGCCATTTACAACATTGAATTGGGGGACAGAGGGTGATGAAGCTTGTTTTGTCAATGTCTATTAAATTTCAAATATTGGATGGAATGGTCTGGAGAGTTGTAACTGCTCCAAGATTGTAGCTACGGAAACTTGTAGAACTTACCTTCAAATGCGATTTGTTTCCCGTTTGCGGTTATTCGCGTTTGCGGTTAATGTGATTATTAAGGTTTCTATCGGATATTAGAATAATTTCAGTATTGAAAAATGGCCTTTGAGCATTCTGATTGTCTCTCTCAGCACTAACTCTGAGGCAATAGTTACAGCTCTAATTGCTCTGAGCATGAGTAACTATTGCTTGTCCCCCAAAAATGGCTGATAATCGGACGGAAGTAAATTATTTATGCAAATTACATGTATATTCATAAAATAAACACGTGTATTAGTTGTATTAATAAATAAAACTTTTTCAATACTGACATTTTTCTAAAACAATTAGTCGCCCCAAGCTCGGTGAACACAAGCCCATATTCACTTCGCCTTCGGCGTAGTGAATATAGAATCGCCTCGCCTTCGGCGATTAATTGTTAAATAGAGACCTTATAATGTTGCGCACAGCATACATGCATGTATTTTGAAAATGTCGTGAAACTACAAAAATAATTATGGTCCATTCAAAACCATGAATGCACGTGTAACGTGTTAATGACCAAACTGGTGTAAAAAGAAATACATCAAGAACATAGCTTTGAACCTGTAAAAAACTTTCATTAATATGCAAAAACTGTCATATAAACATTACGCCCAGTACCCTCGGGAGATTATAACTGCATGGAATGGCCACAATATTAATTAATCGTCGAACTGTTTTCGTTTCCTGTACTGTGATGTATTACAAGTGTACTAATATACATAAATATATTACTCGATTGTGATTGGGTGATGTCATTGCAGTTACAATACAGTAATCCCAAACAGCAGTGCAATTTTCTGTAATCACAGTGCAAAAATCTGTAACAAAATGATCTGATTGGTGGAAACACAATGTGATGATAAAATCAACCAATCAGTTTAAAGCAGTTTAGTTTAAAGAAGTATCGGTCACAGCTTGCTTCAAAACAAAACAAATAAGGCGCCGCGCTGCATAAAGTAAAAGTTGACTTTGGTTGTAAAATATGGCTTTTATCTTTTTTTTTAATGGAAAAACCTTCACCTTAAACAAGACAAACAAAACTTACATAGTTGAGTGGAATTTTCATCCTGTTTCTACTAAATTTCCCATGAACCATTCGTACAAATCATATGTTTTTTGTTTTTGGATAATTGCTACTTTTTGACGGGTATAAATTGACTACACCAACCTGGCAACCTGGCGCCAAAAAATTAAAAAATAATAAGCTATTTGTGATTTCATAAATCCATTTAGAAGTGCAGATTAAGGGGTCTTTAAAACTGAAATTTGTTTCTGACTACGACCATTTTTGGCGAAGTGCGCTCCGTGTGCTAGCTGGTATTTGATCTTTTCTATCACAATGATTCAATAAAAGTGTCATTTTGACAGCTGAAAGCTTGGTTGATCTTTATATTTGCTGTGTATACTATAAATACGAAAACAGAAAACCTATAAACGTGGTATAGTAAACCACAAGCGAATCGCAACAAAACAAAACATAAAATAAAATAATTTCGTTCGATGTCGCACATGCATGGATGGCACCAGAGGGGGGACAGCAAATTTGAATATTAGGTTGACAAAATAAATTAACTCCATCGTCCAACGCGACCTTTAATTAGAATTCTGAATTTAGTCTTTAAAACATTGAACATATTTTGAGGAGGCACTTTTGAAAAAAAGTTCATTAATACATCGCTGCCTTGTTAAACTATTGCCTCTATGTCTTCAGAGACTGCCTTGTCAAAACAACTGTCCCTGAGCTTGTGTATACTTGGCAATATTCTTCCAGAAATCATGTCTGGATGAAATGAAGTTTACTTTCTAAAATGTTGAGATAAACGGACTTATAAACGATAAACGTTAAATTTTAATTAACCGACTGGTCTAAGCCTAAGGACGCAATATATAGATCAACATGGTTCCTGCAAAGCCAGACTGAGAAGTGAACATATTAATGCCTGGATCCAAAAGTGCACAATGAAAGATTGTTATAATTTTTAAATTCATTCTGCCGCAGTATATAAAGATGCATGGCATATTTAAAGTTAAACAAACTGCACATATCTAGTCCTCATAAAACATAATTATATATAAACACCTGTTTCGGCAGTTATTAATTTGCAGTTTAGGAAAATAACTTGAGGGCAGGGTCAAACATATAAACGAAATTTTGTCAATAAATACGAAGGTCCTGCAGGTGGCCCAAGCGGCAAGCACGTTTTAACTGACCACAGAGTCAATAATACGTATAAGATCGTGTATTAGGCTAAAATGTAATTCTGTTTACACTAGATAGCTCTATCATGCTGTTTCCCATAGAAGCTGATCGAACTAACCTTATTAAAAAAAAAACGAACAAGTTGTATCCTTCAACAACTGCGCTGAGTCAAAATTTTTTGTAGCTACATCAGTTCTAAACAGTTGTTCCTTGCATGAGATCAAATAAAGAGCATTCACTATATAATGCTGCAGTTTATATATATTACTATAATACAGCGAGAGCCCAGTGAAAAGCTGTAGTGTTTGAAGCGAAGAGTCTGTAGTGTTCGTATTATAGGCAGCTGTAGCCAATATGATAAGCTCTGCAGTCGTGCCAATTAGAAGCGTTCCGAAAAATGTTGACCAGTTCATTTCCTAACTTGAAGGAACACCTCTGAACAATTCCTTAAAATTTTGAAAATTTCTTTAAAAAGTTCCTAACTTCCTGTTTCATTGACCAATAAAATTTTATATTTTATTTTTGAGCGATCTGATTGGTCAGTGAAACAGGAAGTTAGGAACTTTTTAAGGAACTTATCAAATTGTTGAGGAATTGTTCAGAGGAACTCTTCGAAGTTAGGAAATGAACTGGTCAACATTTTTCGGAACGCTTCTATTGGCACGACTGTAAGTCAGGAGGCAGCAAACATGCATGTTTGACTGTTGTGTCACTATGTGAATTTGTTTTCAGCCTTCCTTCTTCATCCTTCAAAGGGAACTATATTTTTTTATCCTTTCTTGTCTTGTTCTTGTTCCGGCTTTGTGCAACTTGCTGCTACTGCCAGCGATTTAGCCTTTAGCTATAGGAACGTTTACATGTTACAACAATCATACATGCAAGTGCAATGCATGTTCACATACTCTATATGACTATGGCGAGGGTATAGTGTTATGTTAGACCATGATAAAGTCGGTGTGCATCGGAAATATTAAAATTCAATAGTCAAGATCCACACATAGAATTTCGTTCAAAAGGTTTACGTTTTTGATGAGGACTTAATGGTCAGATTGGGATCGGACTCTTCCACATATCATCATGCCTTTAATAACTTTCATTCCCTCGGTACGTAAAATCTTGTTTTTCCAGTAAAATATTAGGCAGTTACATGTACCATTCACTGAGGATATGGTTCTAGCCCAGATTGCTACTAGTTCTGCATCATTCAAAGTAAATGTTCCCTCTTTTGAGGTTATTCTTAGCCCAATGTAAACGAACACTGGAATGGATAGCACCACAAAACAAGCGACTGCCAGCAAGCAACTAGATATATTTTTCAAAGAAAATATCTTTTTCATCTCCGGTGATATTCCTCTGTTTCTACGACTTTTCCTGGCAATTGTAAACAATTTGTAGTTGATGAATAACATTGGGGGAAAGAGAACAATAAAACTAACAAGCAAAAATATTGTGAACGAAATTACGGAGTCGTATAGTACAGTTATCAGCATCAAAGTTACTTTCACGACACTTAGTATTGCGAAAATAATTAAAAGTCTTCCCTTCGTTACCGAAGTTCGATGAAAGATAGGATAAGATGTCGCCAAATATCGATCAAAATTCATGATCAGAAGAGCGAGTAAAGAAAAAATAAGGAACATATTTGCTAAAAATCCGGAAATATGCACCCATCTTTCATATGTGCCCAATTTCCCAGTCACCCAAAGCATCGCCATAAGAGTGGACAATGGATGATTAGTTGAAACCGCAAGCAAATCGCAACAGGACAAAACCATTATCATGAAATAACACAATTTCTTTCGAAGTTGCACAGATCTCCGGATGCTGAGTATAACCACGGAATTTAAACATATTCCTGAGAAAAAGAATAATACATTAACGGCGAATATGAATACCATGTTGATAAAATAGCTTTGTGCCATCGTGGAACTAACTTTGCCTGAAGAAGTTAATATAACAAATAAGACAGCAGGTGATATACGTGGAATGACATTCTTGAAGTACATATACGACATACAGTAACTATACAAATAATTCATTAACACGACTTTATTAAACACTAAACATTGTCTTTCTTTACGTGTCCGATGCGTTGGAGACTTACGTTAAAGTGGCTACCTGCTGTTTTTCAAGTGTGGAAATGCACGATTTAGATCTAAGTTGTTTGAGTTAATTCCCGTATTCACAACCTGTATTTTTATATAATCATAATCGCCATATTTTCCGGTGTGGATGCACACTCCGGAAAACACCACAAACATCATATGGCATCCTCCTACTGGGGCACGGCCAACTTTGTGAAACATGATCCCAAATGGTGGTGTTTCAGGTTTATAGATGATGTACTTGCATGGTTTCACCAGTTGCTCATCTAAAATAGAAAAACTTCCGGTAGCAAGAATGGTGAAGCGTGTAATCTTGAACTGTCTGTGCCAATGTAGTTAGTGCCAATAATATGAACAAGCTTTCGCAACGTTGGTAGGGATGCAACTATACCTGAAAAATATAAGCCAGGAGAATTTCGACGTCTCGAGCGAAGGCCCTTCGTCTGGAGTGACTGTTATTTTTTCATCTACAGTTTGGATTCACTTCACGTTATCGTCCATGCAACCTACCATACCACACTTTTGGAATCAAGATTGCGATTCAGGTGCAATGTGCTTTTCTGGAGTTTCAGAAAAATGCTATTTCAGTCAAGAAACGACGCTTCGGAGATTTACTCCATCTTCAGTTAGGTAAGATTACAATTGTAATCTTCATTGTAATCTTATCTACCTGAAGATGGAGTAAATCCCCCAAACGTCGTTCGTTGATGCAATAAAGACATTAAAAAAGTCTTACTGTGGTCTATATAACTTATTGAACACAAAATATATTATTAACACGAGGCTTAAATAAAAGCCTTGGTTTTAAACATTTTAAAGAAACTAATACGGGTAAATAAACTTTTTATACGATTCTGTTTGCATTATACAATCTACAATTAACAATACTAATCCTACATTTGAACGTCACGAACATGATTTAGGGTCTCAATTTTCTGGCATGCCCGACCACCCCCTCCCCTTCGCGTGGTGAAAAAACGCAGCCTCGTCCCCAGGCACAGTTTGATTTGCTGCTCCGTTTCGTGAGAAATGGAAAATTGGCCAAACCCGTATTGCCGGCGTCGCGCCACGAACCCGCGTGTCTGAGTTGGAGCCTGGTGACGAGGCTGGAAAAAACGAAGCTTGTTAAAACTCTATTGCCTAGACGTTTAGATAGACTCTGCTCAAAAATCTGGCACTTCTAGTTAATTAATTAAACATTGGGCGAATAATGAACGGGATTCGCTACGGGTATTAAAATCGTCGAAAAATAAAGAAATTTGTAACGTTACGAAAATGTCTTAAACGATGTGGGGCTAGCCGACACGCACTTCGAAAAATTTAAGCCGGGGAGCATCTGGATTGGAAAATAATGACAATCTTTATATAGAATGAACAATTGGTATAAAAATGCTGGTGTAAAAATATTACAAGCAACATGCATGAAAAATTTATCGTATCTCCCAACAGTTTCATACGTGAATATATAGCTTTTGACCATGGAAATTTGAAAGTATATGTCCTTACTTGAAATTCCTAGGATTAATTTCCATCCAGGATTCTAGATGCCTTTGTTTTTTAAGCTAAGTTGAAGGTTTATGCCAAACATATTCAACAGCCAGAGCTGTAACTGCTCGTCGTAAACACTGCGGAACATGTACCTACGTTTTTTCAGGCGACCGGGCAAAAAAAGACCAACTGTGCGTGCTCCGCAAGTTCCGCGAGCAGTTAAAGCGAGCCGCCATCCAATGGAATGCATGCATCTAGTAACTTGCCGAGCACGCGCACAAAGAAAGTGGGTACACTAGTTATAACTCTGTATATGTATCTACTCTGTGCTAAAAGAAACCCTTCTAAACATTATAAGCACTTCAGAAAGGCTATCGCTTTTCCTTTCGGGAAGTTAGAGCTATGTCGACACTGCCGTTTCAGGACGGGGTCATTTTCAGGACTTTTGTTCCGGATTCAGGTTTTGGCACAGATGCCATGTTGACCGCCATGGTCATTTTACCCTAAAACAGTTGGGATTACCTGTCCGAATTGAAACGCATACAAACTCATAAACAGGTCCTAGACTATAGATTTCTTGCAAATTTTGTAAATTTCAAAAGATTTCCAGAAAAAAGGCGAAAAGAAGGGAGCAAGGACGCCCATGTTAATGAATAATGATGGTAAGTTTGTTTTAAATATTGATGTGTATATTGTTTGCTTTATAAATGCTTTATAAAAGTTGACGTTGCGTATAATGAAAAAAGCCGGCATATAATTTCAGTGTATCTTTATTGATTGCCCTTTTTTTATTATATTATAAAAATAGGTACGCACTGCGTACATGTGGCTAGCCTATTCAGCCTGTTGAATACAGCTGGAATTCACATTGTCATGAACATTCATCACAAACATTCATTGTGATACAAAATTAATAATTACAATAGAAAAAATAAAACAGATGCAGTATCCTTCTTACAATATCAACAAATGGCTACAAAAATCACTCGATTTAAAAAGCAATGGTTGGTAGCATTGGTGCAGCCAACGCTTTAATTGATAAAGGTTTTGCTTTAATAATAGGCGTGAAAATGGCGTCAAAATGGCGTGACATATCCATATATGGGCACAACACGTCATTTTCACGTCGTCTTTGACGTCTGCGTCCTCGATCTAAATCTGTCTAATAAGCATACACAGCAACTAATAATGTCACTTTTATTGTTTTTCAAAATTTTACTAATATGTAATTAACTAAGATTTCATTGCATGGGTTTCTTGTTACAAATATATTCTGGTGTCTGGTTTACAAGTTATTAGGTTTTCTTGCTTAATCTAGTTTCAAGCCCTCGCATTTTGATCCAGTCCTCGGCTTTGCCTTGGGCTTGATCAAATTGCGCGGACTTGAAATCTAATCCAGTCCTAGCTCATATAGGATTTGAAATATTACGTAATACTATACGTATTGATAAACTCGAACGGTCTCTAGGTAGTGACAATAACACCAGAAAGCTGCGGATTCCGAACGGCCTTCGCTCGAAATGTCGAAATTTTACTTGTATTTTTCAGGCAGTTGAATTTCTCTCAATATGCAGCTCTCAATACTAAACGTATAAGAATTTGTCATCCATGCCGCAATGCCGGCTTGAACTTTGTGAGAAAGTTTTTCGCAACATTTTCAGAGAAATAAATTCGACAGATTATTTCATCTATACCCTATGCAATGAGACAATGGATTATTTTAATCATAGGAACAAAAGACTTTTAAGAGCCAATGCATTTAAAACTAATAAGTATTTATAATAAGTCTTAGAACGAATATGTATATGTATATATATACTTTGTTAATATATATAGTCTAATTTTCCTAGTTAATCTATGGTTGTAATGTAGAATTTTTATGAGTATGTTAGCCCCCTATGTGCAAGGGTGGGTTGTAGCGAAGTAGTTGTAGTTCGCTACTGTAGCGAACTACAATTTTCAAGTAGCCAGTAGTTTTTGACTACTTTTTTAAAACAGTAGTTGTAGTTATAGCGAACTACATTTTGCCTAAAAGTAGCCAAGTAGTTGACTACTTTTCAAACAGGTGAAACAGCGAATCGCTATTCGCTACTTTTAAAATTGTTAGCAACTTGATAGAATAGCATGGTATTGAGACACTGTTTGTTTAAAATCAATACTCAATTGCACTCCTGAACACTGTAGTGCTTACAAAAATGTTGCTTTGTGTTTTTACTGTTGGGACTCGTAAGTCGAATTGTTATAGATTACATTACTGCCTGAGTTAGTAGATGCTCCAAATATAGTATAACTAAAAAATATAGTGTAGCGAAATAGCGAAATAGTTCGCTACAATTTTTAAGTAGTAGCTGTAGTCAGTAGCGAACTACCTTTGTTCAAAAGTAGCAGTAGTTGTAGCTGACTACATATTTTTGAAGTAGCTGTAGTTATAGCGAACTACAAAAATGTTGTAGTCAACCCACCCTTGCCTATGTGTATCCCTTAGCAATTCAGTGTAACCACAGCTATATAGCTACTGTTGTTAAGGGTATTAAAATCATCTATCTATCTATCTATTTAAATGCTATATCTATAGTATGAACCTATTAACATAAGAGAAAGGAAAGAATAATGGATGTTTTTTGAACAACAGTGCAAGTCACCTATTCGTATACAGGTTTCAGCAAGCACCGATTTTAATCCATGAAGCCGTTTGTTATGCATGTCAATGAAGCTCACTTCACGTTATCACTGATATGTGCAAAAGCACCAATACGCTTCAACTTCTCTAATTTTCATCCTGTTTCTATTAAATTTCCCATGACAAGATTTTTTTTATTTATTGACAATGAAGATTTTATTTATTTATTTACTCCTTTCAAATCACAATTATATATACACAAAGTAATTATTTATATTTGTTAGCATTATTATTAGTAGTAAAATCTATTATATTGTGTTCTGTCACTAATTGTTTTCTAATTTTTGAGATTTGAATTTTTGATTTTTGGAATTGCTACTTTTTGGCGGGTAAATTATGACACCAACCTGGCGCCAAAAAATTAAAAATTTGCTATGGGTGATTTCATAAATCCATTTAGAAGAGCAGAATAAGAGTACTTTAAAACTGAAATCTGTTTCTGCAGACAACGACCATTTCTTGCGAAGATATAGAGATACAAATGTTGAAAAATACGCCATATTGGTACTAATGTTTATAATGTTTAAGTCACTATATCTTCGCAAGGAATGGTTGTATTTCGAAACTGATTTCTGTTTTAAGATACCCCTAGTGTGCTCTTCTAAATGGATACATGAAATTACCTATAGCTTATTTTTAATTTTTTGGCGCCAAGTTTGTGACGTAATTTACCCGCCAGAAAGTAGCAATTCCAAAAACAAAACAAAAAACATACAGTCCGTAAGAATGATATGTTCCATGTTCATGGGTAATTTAGTATAGTAAGAGGATGAAAATTAAAGAAGCATATTGGCGCTTTTGGCAAATTGGCATATTGGAAAAAATGCATGCATTTTTGACAGGCGTGCTTCAATTACATTGGGCTTATAGGTTTAATATATAATCAAGAATTATTCATACTATAATTGCCCTTCGTCGCAACCGTATACAACGGTAGCTTTTGAATGTTAAATTGTGACATTATATGAACGTCTTAACCGGTTATTGAATCTGGTGGTTCCATTAAGTTTTAACTAGAAAATACATGCATGCAGAAACCCTCGCCTTGCTGACAAAACCATTGTATTTTCCGAACATGAAGTTCTAAAGTAGTTGTCATGGTAACACGATAATTTTTTAAGAATATTCTTACAAATGAAAAATCGGCTAAAAATATCACTTTTAATTACAAAATTATTAATTTCCCAACATAAATATATGTTAGGTATGTTTTTATACGTAATATAAGCCTCAATTTAAGGTAAAATTCAACCACAAACGCTTCGCAAAACGTTTTAAAGTCACTAG